CTCTCTCTCTCTCTCTCTCTCTCTCTCTCTCTCTCCTGCTCTCCCTTTCTTTATTCTTTGTCCCTCTCTCTCAACTTCTGCTCTTTCTCATTTTTCATTTTTGGCAGGGTCTGGCTGTGTCACCTAGGCTGGAGTGCAGTGGTACAATCTCTGCTCACTGTAGCCTCTGCCTTCCAGGTTCCAGCAATCCTCCCACCTCAGTTAACCTCCAAATTGCTGGGACTACAGGCTTGCAACACCATGCCTGGCTAATTTTTATACTTTTTCGGAGAGACAGGGCTTCCCTATGTTGTCCTGGCTGCTCTTGGATTCTGAGCTCAAGAGATCTGACCGTCTTGGCGTCCCAACGTGCTGGGATTACAAGTATAAGCCACCATTCCCAGCCAAGCCTTGCAATTTCTAAAGCCTAAACCTCTCTAAGGCCTCCCTCTTGATAGGGCAATTTTTCAGCTACTGAGCATACACTATTACCCTTGAATAAATACTTTCACTCTAATACCCATTGGATTAATATGACACTTAATTAGACTAATGTAGAAAATGAATATGCCATAGTCACAGGAACACCATTAATGGTTAATGAAAGACTAAATTTATTTACTTTGCTTATTAACAATGTACTGATTTTCTGTTTTCCAAGTTTAGATTTTACCTCAGGTATGCCTGTTATCTATTTGGCCCATATGTAAAGTATGCATTTATTTGGTAAACCAACAGTGAGAAAAACAGAATGTTGCTTTTGCTCATATTAACTACTGAATGAAAAAGTAAAGAATAATTTTCTCCCTTATCTGTAAAATTAACATATCTATATACTTTTATTTTACATATATACTTTATTATACATTATTTATTTATATATTATTTTATATATAAAAGCATATATACACACACACACACACACACACTTTTATTTTAGGTTTGGGGATACATGTGAAGGTCTGTTAAACTCATGTCATGGGGGGTTTTGCACAGATTATTTCATCAGCCAGGAATAAGCCCAGTACCAAATAGTTATCTTTTCTGTTCCTCTCCAGAAACAGAGCCTTTTTAAAAGATCAAGCTAAACCGACAGCATAATCTTTTGTTTGGCAAAAAGATTCATTATTTGAAAATTATGCAAGTGAATTATCAGCTATTTTATTATTCTTCTTCTTCATCATAGCAGTTTTAAGCCTGGTTTAAAAGAAAAAGGCTAGGGGTCAAGGAACCAAAGCAACTCCCTAAAACTGTGGGAGAAAATGCTGTGGATATGTCTATATTTTCATTTGTTCTCACGTAGGGGTCTACAGATTTTATGTGGTAATAAAAGGAATTTGTGCACCAATTAGTGAACAGATCTGTTTTCGCCTTCATGGAGGAGAGAGACATTAATCAATTAATAATGACTATATAATTATAAACTATGTGATTATAAGCTATGGTAAATAGTATTTTAAAAGTATGGGAAACTATAAAGCATTTCCTACAAATACTGGGTCTCATCTAAATAGGTCAGAAAGTCTTGCCTGAGAGCTTGCTGAAGCCACTCAACACCCAAGTTGAGATCTGAAGAACTAGCACCTCAGGAAAGAGGAGACTGGAAGGCCAGGTTAACTTAATGGTGTGTGTACTAGGGCCCAGGAGCAGAGGAAACAGGATGATGCCCAGGACTTGGAGGAAGCCTACAGCATTGGAAGCACTAGATCAAGTTTATGTTAGATGATGCTGAAGAGGGATATAGGCCAGAGACTGCAGGTTGTGATAAAGATGTGGTCTTAAATATATTGCATGTTCTCACTTACGTGGGAGCTAAAACAGTGGATCTCATAGCAGTAGAGAGAAGAATATTGATTATCAGAGGCTGAGAAGGGCAAGGGTAGGCAGGATGGAGAGTGGTTGGTTAAAACACAAGTAAATAGAAGGAGTAAGTTTTAGTATTCAATAGTACATCAGGGAAATTGTAGTGAACAACACATGTAAATTTAAAAAACAAAACAAAACTGCAAGAGAAGAACTGTAGAGTTTAGAAAGAAAAGATAAATGTTTGAGGTGATGGATATCCCGATTGCCGTTATTTGATTATCACACATTTTGTACAGATATCAACATATCACACATGCCCCCAAAATATGTACAGCTATCATATGATGTATCAATAAATATCACCTTTACAAAAGATTTTTGTCTTATTTTAAGAGCAATGGAAATCACTGAAAGGCCTTTATGCTGGAGACTGACATCGGGTCTGTGGGTTTTTTTGTTTTTGAAACAGGGTCATTTTCTGTCACCCAGGCTGGGTGTACAGTGGTGCAATCCTAGCTCACTGCAGCCCTGAACTGCTGGGATCAAGCAATCCTCCTGCCTCTGCCTCCTCAGTAGCTAAAACCACAGGCGTGAGCCACCATGCCTATCCCCAGACCTATGTTTTTAAAAAAGATGCTTGAAAACAATTTATAGAAAAGATTAGGAAGAAAGAAAATGGAAGGAGGAAGAGCAGAGAGAAAGTTACTTCATTAGTTGGAAAGAGTATCCAAAGCACCTTGGTTTACTATTTGATTTAAATCAAACACCATATTACAGATATAATCTAGAATACATCATGTTGCTTAACTGAATTACTTTAAAATATATATTGTTAACAGTATTTCAAAAATAGTATATTTCAATTCCTAAATCATCCACATTTAATTTTCTCTAAAAGGAAATGACTTTTTTTTCCCAAGAGACTCAATATATCAAAATTCCTCTTAAGGGGTGTGGCTTGAATATAAAAACATTTCAACTATTAATAGGCTTTAAAAATGAATATTACCTTTCAGAGAATATCTGCTTGGCATAAATATTTCTGTTTAATTTATTTAAAAGTATGTAGTTCTAAAACTTAGAGGATTTTAAGCAATACTGTTTGATTTCAGGATTATGATAGGGTAAACACCTAATACCAACAAAACCCGTTAAAGTAGTATTAATTTATTTAGAATAGTAAATATAAAACTATAATGTCTTATTGTTTATTTTACTATTGTTTGATAAAGATTCAGGGAGGATAAAACTAAGGAAAACTTTTGCTATGACTAATATGTTAGTCTATTAAAAATATTAGAATTTTGTCTACCACTGGAATATTATCATGTTCCCACAACCATATGTTTTTCTGGTAAAGTTTCTAAATCCATAGCTATGTTTAGAGTCATACTGTTTTCCTTGAGAATACATGTTGCAACGAACCCTAAATTATGTTACTGTGCTTTTAGGAAATAATCAGAAAGAACAGCATCTGGGTAAGCTGAACTAACTATGATACTGATAGAAATGAAAGAAGGCCCCAAAGTATCACTTTTTAATTTTTTTTTTTTTAACTTTTAGAGTTGAGACAGAGGCAAGCTTAATGGAAAATTTAGCTTTATAATTTATTTTTTGTTTCTTCTTGCAAGTCTTAATCTAGAGTGGTTTGTTTCCATATCGAGTAGGTGAACAATATAAAGAACCTCAATTTTGGAAAAAAAAAAAGCAATTAATTTGGGTTGTATAATAAGACAATGTCTCCAAACTCAGAGGCCAAATGATCATAACAGTTACAATTTTAGAAATATTCAACTAGCAGAAAAGAATGTAGTTCATGGAATTGAGACAGTAATCTTAACTCTGATTTCTATTAATTTTACATTGAAATAAGAGTAGGTTTTATTAATGAACGCCATGAAGATCAGCTAAAGTTTGCATAAAATTGAAACATTAATTTTCTGTCATACCACCTCATACAAATCAAATCTAACACCACATCTTTCATACAATTTCATTTTTCATTCTCAAGGTCAAAGAACAATTCTGAATTTAGCCAGGTTTACATACATTAGTCTAACTCCCGAAACAGCTTGGAAAGCCCACTAGGACAACCACAGCTTTGTCTTTTGGAATAAGTTTGCTCCAGCCCAGCCCACAGGACTGGACTTCTCCAATCACTTCCATGCAGAGGCCAGGGGTACACACAGTTTCAAACAAACCTCCATGGCTAACACTAGCACATAAGCATGTTCCACAGCCAGCCTCCTCTACCACGAAGACCTGCAAAGCCGGTTTATGTGTCTGGTCTGAAAAGCCCGAATCCACACCCAAGCTTAAGTGACATTTCCTGGTTATCAGAAGCTTAACGTTTAATGAGATCAACTTCCCAGTTTTTTTTTTAAACATTTGAAACCTAATGTCAGAGGTATCTCCTTTGCTTTTAAAAGGAAGACAATAAATTTGTTCAATGAAATGGCTTATTTCAATACTATACCACTGTTTCACAGAACACATGCATTAAATTTTACACTTTGAGTATGTACTTTGCACTGTTATCTCCACCATCAGAAAGCTTAACCATTTAAAAGTATTTTATTGCCAAATGAAACTGTTTATTCTTCAAGATCAACACACACACACACATACATGTATACACATATGTATGTTATTTATCGTTTTCTTCACGAGGCTTTGACTCCACTATATGAAGAATTTGCAAAGTGACAAAGCATCAGTTACTTTCTTTGTGACACTGTATTGTCAAAACCACAAAATACTGAAAAATTGACTTCATTCCCCAAAGAAAACCCTGAGTTGAACCAAGTTACTTTAAAGCAACCAGAAGTTGTTTTTTGTTTTTCTGAGATGGAGTTTCGCTCTTGTTACCCAGGCTGGAGTGCAATGGCGCGATCTCGGTTCACTGCAACCTCCGCCTCCTGGGTTCAGGCAATTCTCCTGCCTCAGCCTCCTGAGCAGCTGGGATTACAGGCACGCGCCACCGTGCCCAGCTAATTTTTTGTATCTTTAGTAGAGACGGGGTTTCACCATGTTGACCAGGATGGTCTCGATCTCTTGACCTCGTGATCCACCCGCCTCGGCCTCCCAAAGTGCTGGGATTACAGGCTTGAGCCACCGCGCCCGGCCAGCAACCAGAAGTTTAAGCACATCATCCCCAAAGTTAAAGGTTCTGACTGAGAGGGCTCTTGCAGGTAGCAGGAATGGGCAATACCCACCGTCTTGCTGAGGTAGCCTGTGCTGGTGTTCATGCACTGTAGCCCCTCACTGTTGCAGCAGCCCCCACATCTGTAGACGGATACACATGGAGGCTTAAAGAAGGTGTTTGTTGCAGCTCCAGACTCCTTCCCCACATCTATACACACCTCCCGTGGCATGCATTGAGTCTTTCTCCACTCATTATCAATACCTGTCAAGTCATAGGGAAGCCAATCAGTTTTACCGAAACCACCAGGGGAAAAAGCCCAAAGCTACTGCAAGTTACACACATTCAGTTTCAGATTTTAAGATTTAAGTACAATACATAACTAAAGAGATCGCTGATGGGATCCTAAGTTGACTTGTTAATGAGAATATGATGTAACATTGAAAAAACAGCTAAGGATATTTTCTTTAAAAAACTCATTGCTATAGCCAGGCAATGAGCAAAATTAGGATTGTGCTTTATTAAAAGTATACCAACATCCCACAACACTAACATTTGGTTTTCCTTTCTTAGGAAAATGGTAATTTAATATATGAATGTTTATAATATGTGCAGAGATTCTCATGTTAATTCTCTATAGTATGGGCAATTTTTGTGCTCTCAATACAAATAAAAATATAATTTTATTTTTCTTTAAAACTCAGTTGCATACGAGAAGACGGCTATGGTTTCAGGTTCAAATAAAAATCCTTCTCAGATTGACTTTCTGGCAACCTTGAATAATGTCACAGCAGTAGCCACGTGAAATGCAAGGTTATTTTCCACCAACTGGACTCATTCTGAACTAACTTTCTTCGGCCAAGTCAATTTTTCCTATCCCTTTCAGCTTTCCTTTGAAATTTTGTTTCTGATCAGTTAGTGCCTTACCTATAATACTGTTGACTTTTTAAATTCTGCATTACAAATGATGTACTTCCTAAGTATACTAGTTTATTTCTCCCGTATTTCCCCTAAAAGAGAATTTTTGGAAAAGGACATACACTACTGGTTATACAACCGTGAAGTCATTTTGTTTGCTTGCCTTTGTCCTCAAAATGCTTTCCAATATCAAACTTTTATACCGATTAAGAGCTACCAGCTGAAGGGTAGTACTTTTTAAAATTACTCCACCAACTTTTTTTTTTTTTTTTTTTAAATAGAGATGAGATCTTGCTGTGTTGGTCAGGCTGGTCTCTGTCTCCTGGCTTCAAGCAATCCTCCCACTTTGGCGTCCCAAAAGGCTTGGATTACAGACATGAGCCTCTGTATCCAGTCCTACCCCACCAATTTATGCTGTAACATTGTATGCAACATGATCATTTTTTTGTGAAGCTTTATGCTAGATATCTCATCAGCTAAGTCTCACTTTGAGCCAGTTAGCTATGAAGCAGCAAGGCAACAAGTGGCATCTGAAAAGGTGATTTCAAATGAAGCATTTCTAAATCCAAATCAGAAAATTAAGACATAATTATTTGATGAGATAAACAATGTTTAAGTTACTAAAGAGGTATAGTGTGTTAAATACAGCTATCTGTTTAAAAATTTTCCCATGGCTATCACCTGAAAAGGTGTGTTGTTATGCATGGACCTATCTATCTTGTATTTTAAGAAATGGTCTTGATACTCAAAGTGAAATCACAAAATGCTGCACTTTGAAGTAATTCTTTATTTTCTATTTGCTTTCTGTCCTAAAGGTGCACTCAGTGATACAAACACTGAAGTTAAAGAACCAGGCTAGCAACTTCCACTGGTCTGTTATATAAGGCTTACTATACATTTTCTTTCTCATACTTACTTTTCAAGATCTCTGCATTATAATGTGCTGCAGCGAATTTTATAGTCTCTTCTGTCCTTGAGCTGAGGTTGGCCTGTTCTGTACTGTGTTGCCAGCCTCCTTTCCTGAGCTGACATTTGTACATTTTCCAATATTCTGGGTAGAGTACAGTCATGAGTTCATCTACACTGGACACAGACCGCAACTGCTCCTCCAGATCTTTACTTGCATAAGCCTGTCAAAGAAAAATGCAAGATCAATTACTTAACAGTTTAAGGGATTTAGAAACAAATGTACTCTAAAACCGTCAGTTTTAATATTATCTATGCTCTGATCCCTAACAAATATATTATTAAATACTTCTAAATTGCTTCACTTTCCTTGGTAAAATTATAACCATATTTTAATTGGTATGAACCAAAACAATTTAAAGTACATATTTTGTTGTTAGGACAAACATTTTGTGATACAATTATAAAATAATTTTAAAGTAGCTTATTTGTTTTATTCACAGCTCTTTTAAGTAATTGGTCAATTTGTTGAGTTTGAATTTTTTTCATTTGTATCACCGTACTAAACAGATAAAATTACACAGAAATCTGCCCTAATGCTTGGCTTCATTTTTAGTTACCAACAACAATACAATAAAATTAAGCAGGATGTTTGAGATTAGGAGTTTTACTTTCATGGGGGCTATTTCAGAACAAATAATCACATGAAGAAAGGAATTTCAACAACACTGTCACAGTAAGATTTTTATTTTGGCAGAATCGCTCAATATTTCAAAGAAAATTTTGTCATCAAGATTAACACCACTTTTATAAAAATGAAATAGTTCAGAGAACACTAAATCATCTTGTTAACAACTAACTGCATATATAAGTGTGCTCATTTAAGTAGAACATTTCAAATTATATTTTAGTAGTGACCGTATCTAAGAAATAAATATAATTTTTAAAAAATTATACTTTAGAATTCGGAAAAAGGAAAGTTGTATAGCTCTATCTACCTGCCAAGTGGAATACAACATTAGTTGTTTATTTTATATTGTCATGATTATCCCAGATTTTAAATATAAATACATAAGTAAATACTTTGGACATTGGTTCTCAAAGTTTAGTGGGACTAGGAGTCAATGAACAAGCAGTTAGAAATGCAGGTAACCGTCCCCCACCTCTCCATGGTTTCTTAGATGGATGAAGAATCTACATTTTAACAAATTATAGTTTTTCCTTTCTAATTTTTGAAGCACAAAAATAATGTATTTGCCTTAAAATTGAAATCCTATTAAATCTGAAAAGTATTTTTCACTTCTATTTTTCATAATCCAAGTCATTCTATATAAGTGATTTTTGTACTATATCATGAGAAACATAATCTAATCTCGTTTTCTTATTATAGCAGAGCCTCCTAAAAATAAGCTAGACAATTCTTAATACGAAATGTGTTGCTTCCTATTAGATAATGAAATTGGCTATGAATGTTGGGTTTACCCTGTCACTACCATTTATGGCGTGATTTGAGTATATCACTTAATCTCTATAGATCTATGTTAGAAAAATGCTTATATTAATGTATTAGTTTCTGAAATATACGGGATGATTCCTGATACACCATACAACTATATAAGATAGAATTCTACTGAATACGTGAAGGGTGTGGGTGAGGAGGAGATCTTAGTTTAAATGAAAGTTATATTCTCTCACATTTTCTTAAATGTTTATAAAATATTTGGTAAAAATCTCACTTTTGACACAAAATTCAAAAGTGTTTCAGAATCTAAAAAGAATACTACTGAAGGGAAAATTTATAAAAGTAAAAGTGATTATAAAAATCACACAATATGTGAGGAGATGGATATGTGAACCTGATCATCATCTCACAATGTATATGCACAGCAAAATATCATATACCATAAATATATACCATTTTTGTCAGTCACACCTCAATAATGTTGGGAAAAGCCAGTGTACAGGTATATTTGTGGTCACTGTTACCTGCAGTAAAATGTCACAGATCAGTTTTTGTTTGTTTCTGCTTGTTGAATAGTCCTAGAACAACAGGAACAATACGGAACTGTGTGTGATTGGAAGGTTCCTGGAACTCTCCGCTACAAGTCAGCTGGGATTAAAGACAGGTTGTAACCCAGACTGATCACACCAATTTCCAGAACAGGCCTGCATGTTCAGTCTAGCAAGAGGAGCTGCAATACAACATCCTTACACAATATAATGGTAGATATTCACCAAACTCTTAAGAAAGGGATGATGGCAGACAGAGACTTTCAATTAAGTATTATTTGAAGTGTTAAGGAAAACAAATTACTTTTGTATTGTAAAGCTCAGAAATAAGAAATAACTATAATAATATTTATATCTATGAGAAAAAAACACTGTTCCCCAACAGATCAACTGGAGAGCAACATAAGCATAAAATTCACAAAAGGGAAAATGCAATCTAAAGAAGTGGAAAAAAAAAACAGTAGAAACGTTATTATACTTATACTCTAAGGCTGAAAAAGGCCTTTTGAAAGTGGGTATAAAATAAAATGAAAATATTTGTATAACAGAAAACACTACAAACAAAGTAGGAAATTATTTGCAATATACATGAGATGAAAATGAACTAATATTCTTAAAATATTACTCAAATATACTAATGAAAAAATAAACTGGTGCTTCAATAGAAAAATGGGCAAAGTCAAATGGTATTTCTGTTTCTAGATCCTTGAGGAGTATACCATTTGACCCTGCAATCCCATTACTGGGTATATACCCAAAGGATTATAAATCATTCTATTATAAAGACACATGCACATGTATGTTTACTGCGGCACTGTTTACAATAGCAAAGACTTGGAACCAACCCAAATGCCCATCAGTGATAGACTGGATAAAGAAAATGTGGCACATACACATAGAATACTATGCAGCCATAAAAAAGGCTGTGTCCACATCTTTTGCAGGGACAGGGATGAAGCAGGAAATCATCATTCTTAGCAAACTGACACAAGGACAGAAAACCAAACACCTGATGTTCTCACTCATAAGTGGGTGTATGCATAGACTTGAATTATGAAAGGTTTTCTTTTACCTAGGAGCATATACTCTTATCAAACAATAATAATCAGAATTGAAATAATGGGCAAGAATAGATCAAAAGAAACATCTGGTCACAGTATAAGCTGAATATCCTTATCCAAATGCTTGGGATTAGAAGGATTTTGGATTTTTGTTTGTTTTTAAAATAGTTGTATTTTACTGGTTGAGCAACCCAAATCCAAAATGCTCCAATGAGCATTTCCTCTGAATGTCATGTTGAATGTAAAAAAGTTTCATATTTTGGAGCATTTTGGATTTTAGAGTCTGGAATAGGGATATTCAACCTGTACTGCATTTTCATGAAGTAGCCACCAAGGGTCACAGGCAAATCTGGTTACTTGTCCAATATATCTGTATTTTGTGGAGAGGGGGAAAAAAAAATAACCTAATGTTCAAACTGGAAAACAAGGAATGTTTATAAATTTTTAACTGTCCATAAAATATCTTCAAAAGCTTATAAATTTTTTTATCATCCATATACTATCTTTAAAAGTTTGACCCAAGTAATACCTCATATTTGAAAATAAATGTATATTACAACAGACAATTTTATAAGGTAAAGCATAAGGAGGATTACTTGCTCAAATGATCAGATTAATAATATAAGAACTTTACTAAAAAGTTTTAAAACAAAATATTTATCATATTATTCATTACATATATCATCTCTGTGTCCTAAGAAGACAAATTATCAATTGGCATTAATTTCTCATAAGGTAGTTACCAAAGTCAGTAACTGTATACTGCCATTGGGTTTTCCTTCTTTCTTTCTTGAAAATAGAGTCAGATCAAATTATTAGAAAAAGTAGTTGCTATACTTCCCCTAAAATAGCAAAGAAACTTGCACATTCTCATTTTATTAAAAATGGCAGTTGTATAACAAATGAACTTGTAGGTTCTTTCATTTTCTTCAGCTCTCTATGCTGGGCAAATTTGTACATTTAAAAAATATATTCTAATTATTTAAAAATACTTTCTTTTAAGCAAAAATTGGGTGAGGTGGCAGAATAAACAAAATTTTGGATTTGATAAATCTTCCAATACATAGTCATAAAATTCATTTTTAAAATCCCCCTTTGGTAGAGAGTTATCAATAAATATGGAAATTCAAATGTATCCTTCTAAGGAGTAGAGATTTATAAATATTCCACATAACCTTAGCAAACCATTTTACCTAATGTTCCAGTGAAGGTGTCAGGATTCTTTCACTTTCAAGCCACCCATCATCCGTGTCTACACCAACCTGATGTGCCACAGATAGGAAACCCTGGAATATTAGAAGTTTCTAATTGGAAAATTTAAATTTAAATTTTCAATTCAATTTCCGTCTGAAATATTCTATTGTAAATGTTGAAAATAATACCACAATAGAGAATAGACCTTTTATATCTATTAACAGCATAAAATCTTATTTTTCTAGTCATTTTTTTAAGCTTGTTACCTGTTTTAAGTAAACAAAAAAAAAACTGAAAAATTTATTTCATCAAAATCTAAGTAGGCTCTTAGGAAATTTTAAATATTCATTTACTCTGTAATGTAATACCAAAGTAGACAATGAGTTATTTCTGTATAATCAACACACTGGAAAACAAGGTACTCTGTATGCACTGATTTCCTGCACTGAAAACTACTTGTTTGGCTTTTCTGGCAAGGAATCCTCGTTGATTTCATTTTGGCAAATGGCAAAACAACTTCAGAAATATTAATTCAAACCTTTTTCCACATGATTGCAAAAACAGTACTATGTAGGCGAAGCAAAAAATAACAAATGCAATTATTCACTGAATATTAAGGCAATTCCAAGGAACTAAAATTGATTACTCAAATATTCCAACAAATGCAATTATTCACTGAATATTAAAGCAATTCCAAGGAACTAAAATTGATTACTCAAATATTCCAATATATAGAACAGCAGAGCAGTGGTTCTCAAATCAGGGTTGATTTGCCAATGACAGATCCTCCCCCTGCCTTCCAATCACACAGTCCGCAGTTGCTCCTTTTGTTCACTTTCCAGAATCGTGGCACTAGTGAATAGAGGCCAGGAACACTGCTAATCATTCTACTATGCAGAGAACATTCTCTTTCGAAAAAAGGAATTACCCAGGCTAATGTATCAGTAGTGCCACTACTG